AAAAAAAAATCTGCAAAAAAATAAAAGGTTTTCGAGATCCTTCCCCGCAAAGTACAATTTTTTTTATATTTTTACAAAAAAAATTGAAAAAATCGGTAATGATTGTTCGTTATCTTTGAATCTACAGGGCCTAGCAAAAAGTGTTGTATGCACAGTTTATAGAAAATTTTATTACCTTTTAAAAGCTTCAAACCGTTTTGGAATTGCTTAATTCGTTCTTGAGATATATATGATAAAGTGGACCCAATTTTTTTTTTTTTGCAAAAACGGTAAATTGCAAATATCTCAAAAACGGTACCATAGAATTAAAAATAACATTGATTTTCGGAATCAGGGGGTGATTTTACATAAGAATTTCATAACGGCGTTTCTGGTAAAGAGAAAAAGTTGAAATTTGTGGTCCAGTGTAGTTAATATTCAATAGTAAATAATTATATGTGCAAAATTAAGTATTCAGTTCCGCCTGCTCCAGTGTCAAAAATTTTCAACAGAAAACTACATCAATGACTGTGTGGTAAAAATTTAAACATATGGAAGCTATTTTCATAATAAAACCCGTTTTATTATTTTCCGTATTTATATTATGTTCCATAATATCCCGTGACATTGAACTATCTGAAGAACAGCCCGGACATATATCAGAAATGCAGTTTTGTGGCATGAAATCTAGCTAAATAACTGTTGAAGTAATCGGACAGCAGAATATAATAAGATGTTCCTTTAAAAATCCCGACGACTATAGAAATAATAAGCTTGGTGCCCTCTATAAGCCCAAAAAGTGTGGTGCAAATGACCACACTAGGAATAGCATGATTTATCGTAAAAATTGAAATGTATTTGAATCTCTCTGTCATAAGTAAAAGTTCACAAAAAATAATAAACACAGTTTTGATACTTAAGATGAAGAAATAGACCGCTAAACCACAGCCCCTTCTATGGCACGAAAATGCGTTTTTAGCATTTTACAAAAATTACAAATTTTGTGGGAAGAATTGAAAAACGCTATTTTCAATGATGAAAGAAACTCCAATATAGTTGATCCAGAAGCCCACCACAACTTGGAGAGTCATTCGGCTTCCATGGCAAATCTGTCCTTGGCGAAAAGAATCTTTGGTTTAAAGTAAAAAGCATATAGCTTTGGAAAACAAATAAAATCTTTTCACTATGGGAAAAATGAATATCAAGAATCTTTTTTAGTAACTAGTTTCAAATATGGGCTTTAATACCACTGGGAATTTGTAAGATCTACTCCCCAACAAGATTTTTACTTGTTCAAAACAGAATTATAACGTGTTGAAACTTAAATAAACCCAACTTCACAAATAGGAGGAAATAATACAGATTTCACTACAAAATTTTGGTAAAATATATGCCGCAAAGCGTAAAACAAATAAAATTGTGCAATAGAAATACAATCCAATACCAACAAATAAAATTATCTTCAAAATATTTTGAAAAATAGTCGGTAACCTTACACTTGCTTTTTGCACATATAAATATTTTCTACGAAAATTTCAGCATAATGGTACAATTAAATTAACTTGTTATAAACTAGGGCATATTCATAAAGTTTTTTATATTATTTTGATAAAGTAAATGAATTGGGAAAAAACATCAAAGATCTAGTATTGGTTTTTCATTTAACTAGTCTAAGTTGAAGTATTGCACATATAATTTTTTTACAGGGGTATATGGATTGCATAAAATTGTGAAAATTTCCGAAAACCAAAATCTTATTAATCAAATGTCGCATGCAT